GGGGGGGGGGAATAATCTCTGCTCACTCTGAGGCAGTGAGCAGCAAACATCCATTGGTATGCAGCAGTGTCAGGTCCTCTCTCCTGGTTAGAGAAATAATCACAATCAGAAATACTTTATTGATCCCCGGGGGGCTTATATACAAAGTAAATCTAAATCAAAACATAAGTGTAAACCACAGTATTGCTGACAGAAATTAAATAAATAATAATGATTTTTAAGATTGTGGTGTTGCAGAACTTATAGATAATTACAAAGAATGACATAATAATCAAGTGGATTTAACAATGAAAACACAGTTTTAAAGATAAGAGAAAAATCTGGTCAAGCAATAAAATACATAACACATCTGTAAGCAGCATAAAAGTAGGTCAAAAGTTGGTTCAATACTTACTTGCATGCTCAGGAGTCCTGGAAGGGTAAATTAAGGCCAGTGATAGTTCAGGTACCAGATGGTATCATTGGACAGTGTGGGCCCAAACAGTGGGTTCAGCTGGGCCAGGATTGCTATCAACCAGCTGATGGACAGAAAGGATATTAAGTAGATATTCAATACAAAACTACTCAAGTTTTAATAATGTGGCTACTTTCTGTATCAAAGGGTGATTCTGAGTTTAAGCCCACATTTATCTTGACAAAGCTTTAGGAAGTTAGGATTATTCTACACAGCATCAAACTGAGGGCTTTTGGATAATAAGTTCACTTGGCTGCAACGCTACTTTGTCTCTGTTGCACTCTGCCATGTAACATGACACAATATGCACACTTAAACCTAATTGCTAATATGAATAATTGATCATACCACAACATAAGACATAAACATCCGAGTACTAACGCTGGTGGCAAGCTTTTTATTGTTACAGTAACGCACATAAATTAATACGGAACAAATCGATCCATCTCTTCAGTTTCAGCTTCACAAATAATGTTTCACTATATATAATAAACATTATTCAGGCTGCAATTTAAGGTTTTTGTCAATAGGGATGCACTGATAATGATACTGTGCTTATGAATTTGCACTTGCATTCATAAAAATACTCGATACCACTTTATGGCAGTGTGATGTAATCTCTCGTTAGTTGAGCAGGTAGGCAAAGTACAAGCAATATCAGCAGTTTGGAGATATTTTAAACAACCTTTCTTACAATTTGTTACAGTCAGAACATCTGATGAAATATAAAACATGTTTATAAAGTCAGTGTTAGAACTGTAATGGTATTATTAAGGAATCATATCAGTACTCGGTATCAGCAGGTACCCAAATGTAAATACTTGTATTCGGTCTAAAAAAAGTGGTATCTGTGCATCCCTAATTGTTATTATTAATGAATTTAACATCTCCAGATGTCTCGTTTCGTCCGACTAAGAGTTCAAAACCCAAATATTTTCAGTTTTCTACGACGTAAGACAAAGAAAAGCATCAAATCACATTTGATAAGTCTGAGGGACTTCTTGCTTGACTAAATTACTTAAATAATTCATAATTAATAAAGTAAATGCCTAATCATTTTCTTTCAATGGATTAATCAACTACTGATTTCCATTTATATTATACACCTGATCCTTACTGACCCTTCATTAAGTGCACATATGTATAATGTTTAAAAGCACAACATCCATGTACATTTCCAGGATGATCATACTTACAACAGGTAGCAGCAAACTGCAGTTAACACCAGCATTGTGATTATAACTCTGTGGGAAAAGGACAAATATATATACATTTAAAAGCAGTAACATTAAATGGCTGCATACATGGAGTTAAAACACATCTTAGGCCATTCAGTAACAAGGCTTCATCTCGTGATGCCACTGACAACAAATAAGGGAAGTTGCGTTATGCACATTTTCCACAGATGGGGTATATATTTTACTCGAGTTTGGCATCTTAATAAAAGGAAATAGACAATATATATATATTTACTGTAGTGAAATGTCAACAAACTCAGCATTAAAACGGATGAAGTTTCCTTCCTTCGACAGGAGGAAGGTTAGCTTCAGTTAGCCAGCCATAACTTTTTATAACTAGCGAGAAAACGCTAGTTTATAAGGTTTAAATGTATGAAATACTTCAAATAATGTTGAGAAACTTATCTTATAACACCACCAAGCTACTGTGTCAAATGAAAGTCACGGGACGACATACAATAAAAGAAAACTAGCACTTCCTAGCCAGCTGAAGGCTAAAGTGAAGCTAACAAAAACTTACCCTCTGTTTGGTCCTTTAGGGATAAACCAGGGCACTACTCCTCCAACAATACCCCAAAACAGGGTCATCACAGACATGGAGATCACGAAACTTAGATCCGCCATGGTGGAGTTTGGTTTGAAAACCAAAGAAATGAACAGAAGTAGAAACTTTTGACTCGAGAAACTGCAGTAAACTTGTCCAGCTGCCAGACAGGATCCACACAGAGAGTATCACATGACCATTAACCAGAGAGGGAGGAACTAAAGGAGAGCTTTAACATCAATGTGTGAAAACATACATTATGGTTTAAGTGTGGGTGCAACAATATTTCTTTCCAATTTCTTTCTTACAAGAATGTTCTAGTGACCTTTTTTATGGGTTTGAGACTATGTTATAAAATGATGCAGTAGTACATAGCACAACATTTCTACTTCATTTACATATATAGATGAGCAAAAACTTTAAAAATACCTTATAATTATAATGAAATGCACACAACAGTATTTCTTCTAGTGCAACACAATGTACAGGTCTCTATCTTTCTGGTTACTATGTAAAAACCCACTTTTAACTGATTCATGAGCGGTTTACATTCCCTACTTTCATACAACTTCTTAGAGCCACTAAAACTTTAGTGTTTTAAAATTCTTCCGTGTTCGTATATGTTTCAAATGTCATCTTTGTTAACTTGGCTATCAACAGGGGTTCTCACTTCAACATTAAATTGCAGTTCCAAAAAGGACTTTAGCAAGGTAAAAACATGCTTTTTTAATGTGTGTCTTTTTTAAATCAGACAAAGTTTAACACTGCCTTAATTTGTGTCACATTTGTCAGATCTAAGTAGGGTCTCCTTGTTCTTTCTTACTGCCTTAAATCCTTAATTGCATATTCACTGAAACAGTTACCCAGTTCAAGCCTGCTAACAATACAGGGTGGTGAACAAGAGGACTCAAAACTGGATTATTTGATGGACTTTCTTAGAGGCAAATAGCAAAAGGCAAAGAAATATTTAAGAACAGACATACAAATCTAAGAGTTGTACACCATGTTACTGTGGTCTTTTATCTGTACATCTTCATATATTATTGCAGCTTGAAAAGGTGAAATTGGTGTGTTATCTTGTAAAATATCAATATTTATGAGCATTTTCTTGGATAAATAACAAAAGCTGATCAATCACATGGTTGAGTTTGACAGACCTGGCTCTTTGTTGAGTTATGTTGCTCAGAGACACTTCATTTAGGCTTTTAATGAAGTATTTTATGTCAGGCTTCTTACAGTTGGAGGTGTTTAAACTGTGGTGAAAAAGTGACATCTATTGCTCATTTGGCAAAACTACAAAATGCTGCACCTTTAATATGACTTTACTTTAAATTGAGCTTTCTTTTCCCCTTAAAGTGCAAGCATAGTGTTCAAATTAAAACTGGGGGATGTTAATTTTTGTGTCCATCCCTAAAAAATTACAAGCAATTCAATCTCTCAACTTCATAGACTTCCATTAGTGTTTCATTCAGGCTATGTGCAGTTTCCTTGTATAACATGTACTGACAGACTTCTGTTATTTATATGCAAATATTGTATGCTCCTGGGTGTCTGGGCCTTTGTGTCATCCTATGAGCTCCGTTTTTGTCCTTTTATACGATTAAAAAAAGGACAGGAATCAAAGCAACTAGTATTTAAACTATAGCATGCAAACATCAAACAGAACACAAATTATCAGTATCCAACATTAGTTTCTCCACAAGGCAAACGTCTGCCAAAACAAATTCATAAATCATCAGTTTCCTACATTTTGGCTGCTGCAAGATACACTTCGAGGCACTGGATTAAAATTGAGTGCACTCTATAGTGTTATGCATTTGTGGGCTCTGTACAGATGACCCAGTTTTCTTCTACAGGTGATGTACAACAATCTTGGTGTTAGACTAAAATACAACATTTCTTAAAACCTACAAATATATTTAACAACGTGCGCTCCACCTCCACATCGTAAAAACATGAGACAGACAAAGTATAGTCCATTTATACAGTTTATTGATAGCAAAAGATCATTTTCACTCCTGCATCTTCTCAATGGTCTCCTCCTTGTATTTGCCCTTCTCCTTCCCATCAGCGCGAGACTTGGCCTTGCGCTCCAGGATCTTCTTGCGGTCCTTGTCCAGCTTTAGCCTGGTGATGACCACCTGTAAAAGAAAGACAGTCATTCAATTATTCATGGCAGTGGTACCAATCACGCAAACAAAGAACCACATTTTCTTATGATTAGACTAGTTAACAGCGGGCTTGACATTCTGCAATAGTTTTAAGTCTTAAACAAACACTGAATGTAGAAGAAAATGAATTCCATTTAGGTGTGCCAATTCCAGATCAGTGCTGTGCATACTGGCTGAATGGTTTGACTTACTGGAACAGTTAAATGGAATAAAAACCCTCATTATTACTATCAGATCAACCTGTGCCTTTTTCCTCACAAAACGTCTGTTAAAACTGACTACTAGCTGAGCCAAAGGCTTCACTAGAAGCATCAAAACTGCAGTTTGCTTTGACCCGTTTACGTTTATACTACTTGAGATGAAATCTGCCAGTTGCACTGAACTGAACACAGTTGGTGCTCGGTGGAGAAGAGGGAAAAACTGGAAGGCCGATTTGGTCCAATAAGACAATAAGATTGTCACTTTGCCATAGTTTACCCAAAAGATGTTTCTCACAACGGACATTTTGACTTGGAGACACAGGTGTTATGAATAACAATGTAGGATCTGGTCTGTTCAAGAGTCCCAGTAAGTCATGACCGTGAGCCTTAAAGTAATACCTTCATTTAACAACTGTTTTGTACTATCTGTGCATTTAAGTGACCTTTTTATGGGTTTGAGGCTATGTTCTAAAATGATTTAGTAGTACATAGCACAACATTTCTACTTCATTTAAACCCCCCCCCCACACTTTTAACTGATTCATGAGCGGTTTACATTCCCTACTTTCATACAACTTTTCAGAGCCACTAAAACTTTA